AGAGAGAGGGGAGGTGGGCGGAGGTAGAGTGCGGTAAATAGTATCTGTATCTGCAGCTGTTGTAGGTACAAGCTGCATCTTGTCATCGCATCAATGAGCTTCAGCCGCATATAGTATTTGCGCACTCACACACACACACACACACACACACACACACACACACACATTGCTCTCAGTCCATTCAACTGGAGCGTATCTGAATCGATTCGAGATTCAAGACTCAGTTTAAAATAGCTTTACACATTGATTATTATTACGGAATTATGAAATTGTGTATTGTCGCAACGTCTGGTTGACCTCATCGAATAGACCCAATGAACGAATAATATGATCTTACTGCAAGTCTATAATGCATTCTGTAACAATTGATACCCTGTAAATGAATAAAACTCGAATTGGTTTGATAATATATTTTATTTTATTATTATTATTGATTTAGCTAAAGTGTGGCTATAATACTTCCAAATAATATTTTATATTTATGCCACAAAGTAAAAAATAATAATAAACAATTTATAACATATTTAGCAATTTTATATATAATTTAAAAAAAATATTTTAGTTTAAAAATTTTCTTAATAGCTTAAAAATTTGTTAGACAAAATATTTCTACAAATTGTTCAAGTTTATTTGTAATGAAGGGAAATGAAAGTTCGAATATATTCGTATATACAGGGTATCTGCTAGCTGGTCGTCTCTCTTCAATGCTCGCCACGCTTCAGTTTCGAGGTAAATCACGCTTTATTGCATTTGAAAAGCAATTTGCTATGGCCAGTGAGTATCCGAGCGAAAAGAATACCTGTGAGGCAGACCAGAGATGTACGTATGGGTGTATGTGTGCCCAGACTGCCCCATATGTGTGTGAGCCATTGTACGTACATATATGTATATTATGATTATGTAGAATCGGCTGATTGGGGGTGATTAACCCTATTTGGATGTGAACGAAAATCGATTTGAACTTGTCAAATTCGATGATTTTTCATAACGATTCTCTCGATGCTCGGCAGATTTGTCATGCATATGCCCGGGCAGTGGAGTAAATGACTTTTTGAACATTTGCTTTTACTCTTTTTACATTTTACTTTTGTTGCTTTAAAAAATAGTAATTATATAGAAAACAACAAAGCAAAACGTACACAAAACTAATTATACAATTTTTTTTTTTACAGCGCTTGAAGAGTTTTTCTTCTTCTCTTGGCGCTTTTGTTTTTTATTTTTTGTTTAATACATACATATATATATATTTTTTTATTGTTGCTTGTCTATAGCTTGTGAGGTTCATAAACCTCTTGAGTGTTTACCAATTATCATGATGAGCGCTCGACCAAGATGAACGAACAGCAGCCAGCCTGTGGAAACGTGTGCTTGAGCAATTGTAATCAAATGTCTATAAAATTTAATAATTTAGCAACTAATGAAGCTACAAACTTCCATTAAATTCATGTAATTGCAGACAGACAATGATGGACAATAAATTGATGCAGTTCCTAATTAGTTTTTGTTTACAAATTGAGTTTGCATTATTTGAGAAATTTGATATTGGCGCATGTTAGCCTGCATGCAAATCTAATTAATAACTGACTAATTGATGGCTGTCTATAAACAAGTTCGACAAAATAAAGGGAACAGACTTGTGTGATATCCTGTAAAATGTAAGGAGTGAGAAAAGAATTTATTAATTAATCAGAAACAGAAGCTTTAGGCATTGCATAAAGCCAATATACTTTGCTCATTTTCAGTACGGGCTAAAATTTGATAGATATATTGATAAATATACTGTGCGAGTCTTAGTTATAATTAATTTAGACAGTTATTATTATTATTATTTTTTTTTTAATTTATAAATGAGCATTGCGTAAAGTCTTTTGTTTATATTTAAATCACATTTGTAAATATATCAGCTATTATTAGTTACTTTTATCTACGAAATATGTGTGTGTGTGTGTGTAGCTCTGATAAAATGGGGTATATGCAGTCTAGTCTACCTTTATCTGTTCACTCAGCTGTGTCGATTTTATTTTGATAAATTAGCTGCTAAAACAGCTTAAGTCAAGCAAATAACCAATGTTCTTGGAAAATGCTACACACACATGTGTCTGTGTGTGTGTGTGTGTGTGTGTGTGCTTTAATATGTCAAAATTATAAATTGACTAAATTGACTGTGAAATGTGCAGACTTGAAGCTATTAAATAAGCCATGTGTGGGAGCGAACAGAGCTGAGAACGAGCGACAGCAATAACAATAAATTGAACTAGCTGCAAGCATCTGGGATCTGCTATGCCAGCAACTGAGGCAGCATGTTCACATGCTCTGCTACATGTGTAGCAAGAAATTGTGAACAATTAAAATGGCAGCAAAAGCAATAGCAAAAGCATATTGATTGCAATTGCAATTGCAATTGCAGCGAAGCGAAGTGTACAATGCGGCGTATGCGCAACGTTGCAAAAATCATAAGTAAATAATCAACAAGCTGCAAAACACCAACACCAACAACAGCAACAGCAACAATAACAACAAAGACAACAAAGGCAACAAGAAATACCTAAATTAATTATTAGTCCAGCACCAGACTCGATTGTATATAAATATATATACATATATACTACAAAGTCCAATGATCGCTTTAGCAACTATTGTAACTAACTCTGTCTATATATATATATATATATATATATATA